TTTCTTAAGCTTACACACTTGATTGTTCTTTCCCGCCTCAAAACCTGGAGGTAGTGTCATGAAGACTTCTTCCTTAAGGTCACCATTTAGGAAGGCGTTTTTAATATCTAGCTGCTGGAGAGGCCAATCCAGATTTACAGCCACAGAGATTAGGATTCTGATAGTATTAAGCTTGGCTACAGGGGCAAAAGTTTCTTTGTAGTCCAAGCCATATGTTTGGGTGAACCCTTTTGCCACTAACCGTGCCTTTAATCTGTCCAACTTACCAGCAGCATCATATTTTGGGGTGAACACCCACTTGCAGCCCACAACCCTCTTCCCTTTTGGTAGCTCTACAACTTCCCATGTGCCATTTTTTGTTAAAGCATTCATCTCCTCTATCACAGCATTCTTCCAATCTGGTATGCTAAGGGCCTCATATACATCATTGGGAATCTTCACTTTATCAAGGTTAGTTACAAAAGTGCGGAATTGTGAGGATAGAGTCTGATAGCTCACAAACCTTTGGATGGGGTGCTGTGTACAAGTTCTGGGTTGTTTTCTGAGGGCTATCGGTAAGTCTGTCTCCGCTTTCCCAGCTTCAGGAGCCTCTTGTGGTTCGAATTCTGGTTGTGCTTCAGGTATAACAGTCTCCCTTTCTCGCCATTTCTTCCTAGAGTAGACTATGGGTGTCTTTTCCAGTGCATTTCCAGCAATTTCAGTGCAATCTGAAAGACTTTTTACTTCAGTTTCTGGCCTAGGAGATTGGACCCTGAATTCGGTGGACTGTGGGTTTAAGAGTTCAGACTCTATTTGAGAGTTTGTTGGTGCAAGAATGAAGGGATCAGAATCATGAATGGTGGTGATTTCTTTACCCCTTTGCCTCTCACTTTCACTTTCCAAAAACTGAAAGTCACTCCCCCTCTCCCCCTGACTTGAAGTGTTTGGGTAAAAGGACTCATGCTCAACAAAGCTAACGTCTCGGCTTATGTAAAGTTTCTTGGTATGAGGATCAAAGCATTTATACCCTTTTTGTGTAGAGGAATAACCAAGAAAGATACATTTGATGGCTTTAGGGTCCAGCTTTTGGGAGTGATGGGAGTGAACATAAGTGGAACAACCAAAAATTTTAAGTGGTAGGTTGGTGTCAAGATGAGTAATGGAGTGAGATTCTTTTAATTTCTCAAGAGGTGTGGTAAATGAGAGGACACGACTTGGCATGCGGTTGATTAAATATGTAGCGGTAAGAATTGCATCTCCCCAGAAATATTTGGGAACGTTATAAGTGAAGAGCAAGGCACGTGCAACTTCTAAGAGGTGTTTGTTTTTCCGTTCCGCAATACCATTTTGTTGGGGAGTGTTAGGACAGGTACTTTTATGGACAATTCCATGTTCTGTGAGGAACATATCCATGGTTTTATTAAAGTATTCAGTGCCATTGTCAGTATGGAGGACTTGGATTGTGGTGTCAAACTGGTTTTTTACCATTGTATAAAATTGAGAAAAGACAGAGGGCACAGCAGATTTATCTTGTAATAGGTAGACCCAACACATTCTAGTATGGTCATCAATAAATGTAATGAACCATTTAGTATTTGTACGATTAGCAATACGAGTAGGACCCCATAAGTCACTATGAATAATGGAAAAAGGACGGGTAGATTTATATTCAACAGGTTTGAACACAGATCTGTGATGTTTAGCAAGTTCACACTCAGCACAGTGAAATGAAGAAATTTTATTAACTTGAAATTCAGGAAACAAACGACATAAGTATTGAAAATTTGGATGACCCATTCTCCTATGCCATAACATAAGATCATTAAAGTCTTTATTTGCAATGTGACACTGGATTCGAGACCAAAGACTACTCACGGTTGATTCATCGAGATAGTAGAGACCGTTATGCTCCTTAACACTGCCAATCATCTTCCCCGATAAGAGGTCCTGAAAAATACAATGAGTAGAACAGAAATGAGCCCAGCAATTTGCCTCTTTAGTCAACTTACTTATAGACAATAAGTTACAAGCCAAGTAAGGTACATGTAAAACATGATTCAGTCTCATGACTTTAGAAATAACCACACTTCCTGTTCCTGCTATTGACGAGGAAGATCCATTAGCTGTACTTACTGTTTCATTCCCAGCGCTAGGAATATAGGTATTGAATAGTTTAACATTTGAGGTCATATGATCAGTTGCCCGTATCAACAATCCATTTGGGGTTACTATTAGAAGTAAGTAAGGCACATTTACCTTTGTGAGCCACAGATGCAGTAGGATTCAGTTTCTGGTTTTTCTCATTCTTCTGCAACACACTAAGCATCTCAAGTAGCTTACCTAGTTGCTCCTTATCAATTTCAGGTATTGAGTCTGGTTTATCTGGCGGTACATCATGAGAAGTTTGATAACTTCGTTGCTTGCCCTTTTTCGGCTTCCAATCGGCTGGCTTTCCATGTATATCCCAACAAGTGTCACGGGTATGCCCAATCTTCTTGCAATGTTCACAAGTGACCTTCCCTTTTTGGTTCTTATGATTTGAATCACTGCCCTTGCTCACAAGTGCAGCAGTGTCCAAGGAAGAAGTTGGTGCAGAAATTCGAGCCATTGAGTTTCATGGTAACCACGAGCACCGATGATCTGTCATGACCAGTGATCGACCCGAGGGGACTACCGGCCTTATCTGGATCGATTTGCGAGGACCCATCACTCTTCGACATTGGAGAAGTGTGAATCGGGTGCAACTCTTGTGTCTCGTCTTCGGTGCTTTCTGTCTCAGAGTTTTCGGCGTCGATATCTGCTAGTAGCTCTGATACCATGTAGCAAATAGACCGAAAAACTCTTCTTCTTGAATCCCAGAGTATGTACACTGATTTATACATGTGAGAAGATGATCAAATCTCTAAGAAATCAGGAGATGGAATCAGGAGAGGATATTCGGGAATAGGATATCTACAAAATCCCTATTTTTACTCCTCACAGTATCCCCTTTATTAATAAATAATATTTACATTAAATATAGGTCAACCACAAAAACAAAGTCCCAGCTCCCTTCTGCGATTAATCTCAGCGTCTGAGAGCCTTTGAGAAAAGCCTCCATGTCAGAAAGTGGATGAACTCGTCGAACTGCCCTGGAACTTTGACTCCCTTGTTTTCGTTTCTACTTTCTTGGCTGCATTCGTGGTCGCATACGCAAAGCCCGCAAGGACTGTGGCTTTGCTCAACTCTGATATGTGCATTACACATGAGAAATAAGGCTGGGCTCGATTTGTTTTAGGCCTAGATTGATAACATTGGAACCCATTTTTGTGTGGGCCTTTGCGTTCCTCCAGTATCCGGTTTCTTTCTTCCACACACAGAGCAGATGTGATGACTTCATGCAGAGATAGGGCACTCGTGAGTTTTAGTTTTGCTTTGATCTCGGCTCTCAACCCATTTCGGAAAGCGCTGATGAGACATTCCTCAGAAGCTTCTCTTAATGGTGCGGATAAGCGTTCAAACTCCTCTACATATTCCAGCATCGTGAGTTCCTGCCTTGTTGAAAAGAGCATCTCATATTTCCCCCCATGTTGAGTAGAATGAAACCCACATAGCAACTTGCTCTTAAATTCGGTCCAGCTTCGTAGTGGGGTTAATCCATTGGTACCAATTAAGTGCTTTCCCTTCAAGACATACTACTGCAACTTCTATCTTTTTTTGCTTTGCTATTGTGTTGATGAGGAATAGCATTCTACTTGGAAAAGCCAACACAATGGGTCTTCTTCTGCAAAAACAGGTAACTCTAGTCTTATGTACTTTCCACCATCCCTCTCACCATGTGGGTTACTTCCAGACGTGTCCCCATGATCACTAGGCTCTTGTTCCAGTACATGAGTGTCTGCCATTGTTCTCTGTATCTGTCCCAATGCCTCATTCGTCTTTTCTAACACCTCCTTAATTGTGGTTATATCTCTTGTCAGCACACCAACTGTCTCTTTCAGTTCTTGAACATCCAGATTCGCATATTGCACGCGCTCATTCATTGTCACCGTGGTCTATAAAATCCCCTAAGATCTCACCGCTCTGATACCAAATGATGGGACCCTATTAAATAATAGCCAGAAAACAGCAAACAAGCAACAACAGAGCACAAAATAAGGGAAATCCTGAGGTTTTAGATTAATATGATAAGGTGCTGAATCAGAGTTACAAGAAGGACTCCCTGATTCAGTATAAAACCCTCTTTCCTTGTTACAATGAAAAATCACAGCAACTAAGATAAACTCAGTCTCTCTACTATAGAACAACTGCTGGCTTTCGAGAGGCCAGTCCTCTCCTCCCAACTCTCAAATACCAAAATGACACACACCTTACTTGGGGACCTCAAGCATAACTATAAACCCAAAAGACAACCCTCACAGACTCCAAAAAGAACCATCTCCTAAGCCAGATCAAAAGTAACTCTAAAGCAGCCTTAGCTGTTATTTTCTTGCTCCTTAATAGTTGGAGCAGTCAGGTCAACGTTCTGACCATCTGAAGGCATCTTTCCTTTTTCATGCTTCTTCTTAGTTTTCCTTTTATAGGTCTGGGCAGCAAAAGTAATCCTATCAGAACTCTTTATGTTTACTTATGAGATTACTTGTTTCAAATTTCCAATTCTCTTTTGGATTTGTTAATGAGCTTACAGTTTATAGTACAAACTAGTTGGACATGGGAGCCAAAGGCTGGCTGCTTAACTATGTGTGGGTCTAGGTTGGTTTAGATATAGGATCATCTGTCTTACAGGCAAAGCTCAATTACATAAAGTGCTAATTCAATAATATTCTATTACTGAGAGGCAGAGAACTTTAACATGAGTGGTAGTCATGAATTGACCTCCATCTAATGTCATTTTATTCAAACTAATTTTGAACTGGTGGCACCCTGGTCTGAATCTGTTGGACGTGCCAAAGATTGAAAAAATTATGTACTTTATTTTTAGGCAGTTCACTTGCTACTTTTGCATTTAACTACATCTTTGGTGTTAATTTATGACTTGACAGGCAGAGTCATTAACTGGCATAGGGAATCCAATATTAGCAGGGCAAGAGTTGCTTAAAAGAGGGATCCGCACAAAATGGGTGATTGTGAAAATTGGTCCCAGAGGGTCAATCCTAATATCCAAGTCGAGTGTAGCTTGTGCACCTGCATTTAAGGTATTATCTTTTCATTTTGGGTTTTCTGTTAAGATGCTATTTCCATGAAACTCTTCCATGTTTTGAGATCATGAATGATTGTGTATATTTGCAGCACATCACCACATCCAAAATGTCATGTTTGCTAATGGCTTTCAGGAATAATTCGGCTGACTAATTAATGAAAAATTAAGATCGTAACAAAGATCATAAGATTTAACTTTATGAAGGAAAGATTGTGATCCCCCTTCCCCCCACCAAATAACAACAACAACAACAACAACAACAACAACAATAACTGAATGACCATATATCCAAACTAAATGGTCTTGTGCACCTCAATAATTTTCCATTCCACAGATTTGTTTTCAACTAAAAGATCCTTTTAAATAAATGAAACATCACATGCAAATGCAAACATGCAAAAATCATCCCCAAATTGATTCTGACATGTTCCTACTATAACATAACCTTTTTGTGTTCATTTTGTTTTGTTTGTTTCTTTCAATAAATTTAACTAAATTCATGTCTTATGATCTTTCTTTATTTTTTGCCATTGTCAGTCTTGGTTAATTTATTAATCTCTTCAACTTTCTCGATCTTGGTGCGAACTAATTGGATTTTAAAATGTTATCAGGCCAATGTTATTGACACCGTTGGGTGCGGAGACAGTTTTGTAGCTCCCATTGCTTATGGTTTTATAAATAGGATGCCGATGGTTAATACGTTAGCAATAGCAAATGCTGTAGGGGCTGCTACTGCTATGGGTTGTGGTGCTGGTAGGAATGTAGCTACACTGGAAAAAGTTACGGATATATTGCGATCATCAAACCATAACGTAGACGATGAATTTTGGACTGACCTACTTGGAAATAACGTGGATGCTCAGGAAATAGTATTTCTGTCAAATGATGTAGTAATCGGAAATGGAAACCAGCTCAAACATGTCTCCTTCAATAAGGTTGCCTCTGAATTGTTGCTTAGGTTCAAATTTCCCCAGCTAGAACAGAAAGTGCTGTCATGACAGATTTTGGACAAAATCCACTAAAATTAAAAGTGATTCAATTGCCACCCTGATTATCTGAGGGCCTTTGCTTCTACTTCCTTTTAGTAAAAGCCTTGCGCTGAGTAATTATTGCAGAAGAGTTCATCCTCCGTCTTAATTGCGTTGGAATAGTTGTTGAAAAGGCGTTGCATTGAGGAAAAGTTCATGAAATCCCGCGATTAGCTGCTCGTCAACTATTTTAACTGATTGCTGCAATTGAAATCGGAGCAGTATAATATTATTGCTGTGATATCTAATGCCCTCATGTTTTGGGCCGAAATTCTAATGCCTCTGACAGAATCTAATTTTTCAGCAGTGCAGATGATCCAACTTAGATGTGGATTCTTCCCACCTGTTGCTACTGCATGTAGTATGATCAATGCAGTGAAAAATTATTGGCAGCGCAAAGAAAATTTTTTTCTTTTATTTATGACTTTGAATAGGGATTAGGAATCGTTTGTTCTGCTGGAGAGTGTATTGTCTTTGATTTCATAGTCGTGAGACTTGATCGAGACTGAATTCAATTTTTTCAATAATTCTTTTGTCTAGAATTTTTGTTACATGTTCGTTGGAACGGAAAAAGATTAAATCAGCGACGAAATAATTACAGATGACCTTTTTTTTTAAAAAAGAAAAAAGATTCACATTTTTTTAACGAAAAAAAAGGAACTTCGATGACCAATTGGACTTTTTTCCCCTTTGCCCCGTCAGCTTGTAGGCTCTTCCAACCAGTTTGCGACAAGGTGAGGATATGATTCTTAACCGAACCCAAAAAAAAAAAAATGCATTAAACGGAAAAAATATGCTGCTTTTAAAGTTACACGAGAAAATCCAACAACTTTTCAAATGAAGAAAACAGACCAAGGCTAGATGCATGGTCAAAATAATATCCATATTATAAGCTACACAAAGACCAGTTTGGACCTGGCTTGCCATCCGTCGAAGCTTGGCCTGAAATATCACTATGCTTGTTTTTCTGGTCTTGGGTTATGGCCATTTAAACATGAGATCTTGGATTTGAATTTGTGTAAATACAGAGAAAAATCTTAGTATAGATAAGTATATTATAATCCTTATGCCATTACTCCAGCTGTGTTAAACTTGGAAGTCCAATCTTGACTTATTAGTCGTGCAACACTATCAGAAGGACCCATCTCAGACGCAAACTTGAAGTCTCCATGCAGAGAATGTGGAGCCACTCAATTTGGCTTTTATCGTAAAGGTTTTTGCTTTTGCTTTTTTGGGACCCAAAAAAGGGGAGAATAACATTAATCAAATGCAGAGTAACATAATTCAGAGCCATAAGCCAGTGGCAAAAACATTACAAAAGAAATAAAAGCTCATTAGCCAATCCCCTCACGATCATGTTCTGGAGTATGTTGCTGCAAGTAGTTCTGACAAGAGCTTGAGTCTTGGAAGATTAAAGCAGAAAGAGGGAGTGAAGGTTAAATGCAGCAAATTAGCATCGTTCTGACAACAGAATTTGGAATTGTTGGGATTTGCAATTTAAAGTCAAAGACAAGCAGATGAAATTGCAATTTAAGTCAAATATCAAAGCAAGTTGCTGTCTGTTGCTGCTTTGTTAAGTGGGTAGACATCACACAAGTTCTCGAGTTATGCCGACGCAATGACTTTGTTCAGCCTGAAAGGAAACCAAGAAACCCAGAAATAAAGCAACTGAGAGTAGGAGAAAAGCCAAGAGCTTATAAACACTTCATATATTGCTTCCTGTAGCATTCGGAGATTGGCTTATAAAAGGTGGTTATTATGGCAAATGTTGCTCCTCACAGTGAAATTTACCAGCAACTAAAAATCCCAACTAAATTATTATTGATGTTTTCTATTACTCTCACCCCGAACAAAATTTAAAATGAAGACACTTTTTCAAGGAAAACATAGTTGGAAACGCGGAAACAGAGTGATTCATTAAAAGGAATTTTGAATTTTAGGTTGGTTTACTGCAAAATATGTGTGCTTTTTTATATTTAAAAAATGGCATAGAGGTCATGATGATCTGTCTTTTTCTTCTGGGTTTGTTTATGGTGCAAGATTTATCTGTTTCTCTTGGAAGTTCACCACAGAAACTTTATTCTGCCAACATATCCGGATACATGCACCCCCACCCTCAAAAGCTCATTCTGACCTAAATTTGTTTTTCAGTGCGAACTTTTTTAGGGTGTCTGTTCTGTATTTTTCATTCACTTTATATATATATATATATATATAGATATCTGGGCCATGCATGGTTATAGCCATGTTTCAGGTAGGTTTGAATTTTCATGATGAACTGATTAATGGTGTAAATTCACTGTCCTTAGGATTATGATATATGGCACATATTTCCCTTAGCTGGATCTCACATGTCTTCAAACCATGTCAAAATTCTACCTCATCTGTTCAGGACGCGTCTGTCATACTGTCTTCACCCAGAACTCTGGGTTCACATTTTCCAATTTCGAAATTGAATTTAATGACTTCCATTTATAAGAAGCCATACAATTAGACTCCATCAATCTTTAACCTTTTAAGAAAGGGGTGAGGTCTGAAGTGTGAACTCTCTTGTTGAATTCATGCTGCTAGAATTGGATCAAAAACTCTTGTTCATTTCAGTCAAGTTATTCTTTTCTTTGTTTAAAGAAAAGATCGGGGCAAAAAAATTGGAAATATTTGAACGTACGACATGAATACTAAAAATGTGATGGGGCTGCTCTCCCATGTGCCTAAATCTGAGGTGACTGAGGACAAAAGAGGGCGGAACAATCTTTGCTCGTAACTTTATCAGAAGGCAACTTTACAGGGTGAAAGAATTCAACTTTTTCTTCCCTCTATTGATGTGCGTGTAATCGACATGTCACAAAGAAGCACAACAAATTAGGGTATGCAGAAATGGCGTCTGTGTGCGCGCATTCCTCTTTCTTTGGCTATTCGCCTCTCTCATCTCATATTGTATGCTTTCCACTTTGAAACGAGCTTTCTGAGTTAAAGCTTAAGGCTCAAGTTTGGCATATTGCTGCCGTCTTGACTCTTGAAGGCTGAGAAAGCCAGAAACATATAGGAAGCAAGTCGCCGATGGCCAGAAAACAAAAAAGTAGGAACCTCAAAACTATTCAACAGTTTCCCTAATTTAAAGCACGCCACACCTGTATACATGCGCGCGTGTGTACATATATGTACACGTATGTATATTCGGGCACATGCCATCTTTTTAAATAATCTTTTCATATATTTTCAAATTGTTGTTAGTACAGTGATATACAAAGATTAGAAAAGTTACTGAATAACTTTAATAATATAAATTTGTTGTGATGTTAATTAAAATCTGTTTATATTAATTTTTGAGAAAACTAGTTCAATGACATTAAAAAATACTTCTACCATAAATTATAGATGGAATTTTTGAATATTTTGAAATATGACCTGTTCATAAAATCAATTAGATGTATTTTATTTTTTTATCCTTAAATTAAATTTATTATTAAACATTATATATCTATTGTAACTAATTCTTAACTGACTGAATCTTTTCTCTTTTTTTCCCTTTAAATATAAAATTATCGGTACCTTTTTTCATTGTAGATCTTTTCTTATCTCTTTTTTTCTATTTTTCTTAGGAACACTATGAAGAGTACATTAGACATTGAAAAAAAATCTTTATTTTTGGAATTAAAAGATTAGGCTGGAATCTATTATCTATCATTAGATTTTTATCATATTCACATCTTTTGGTAACATTAAATTTCTTGTGGACTGTGTTTGATTTATTTTGGGCAAATGATTATGTATTTTTTGTGTTGTTGATTTGCGATACTACATCATTGATATATAATTATATATCAATGAGAAACAAGTTTATGTCTGATTGTTTAGTTATATTGATTTGCGATAGTATATCAATGATATATAACAATATATCTATGATGTAGTATCGTGAATTAATAATACAAAAAATATATAATCATTTGTCCAAAACGGATCAAATATAGTCCATAAAAAATTTTGGAGTTTTAATTTATCACAAAAAGTCAAATATCTAAACTAATAAAATAAAAAATCATGAATCTGTAGCTCCATTCCCCACCGATGTGTTCCGTTTTGTTAAGTACCATTGATGTATCTCACATCAATGTTCACATTGCTCTATTGTTTTGCATTTGTCTCTCTTACGTCCAATTATGTCTTCTCTTTTGCTTTTATCTCTAAAAAAGCCGTTTTAGATTATATCTCTCACATTCATTGCGTTCAATTTTAGATATTTCTTGCATTTTGAATCTTCTGGTATTTACAAAAAGTAGATATTAAAAAGATAGTTTTATAAATTAATTACAAACTAAATATTAAAAAGAATATTTTTAAAATTTAAGAAATGATAGGCTATTTTTTTTATTTGATCTTATGATATGGGCTATATGTGTAAAAGTCCCTTAATTTTTTAACTATCTCATATGTACTCTCTTGTTTTATGAAATTAAGAATTAAAAAGTTTAAATGGAAATTACTTAATACCCCTCATGTCCTAAATATAAGCTTTGTTTTAAAAACTTTGGTTTAGTTCTAAATATAACATCTCATTTCCTCTTGTTTCTCGTATTCAAGCGTGATAGATATCCTTCTTTATGTTGGAAAGTTAAATATGAATTGACTTAACTTAAAATGAAAAAAGTCTCACAAAAGTTTGGAGAAATATATAAATTAAAAAAAGCTCTTAAATTTAACATCTTAAGATGTAGTATCATGTTTATTTATGTATATTCTTTCATAATTGTTAGACCCAAGTCTATTCTCCCCCTGTTTGAGACTTTTTTGGGGCCCATCAATTTATTGAGACGTTTTTATCTCTACGCATTAAATTTTAATCATTAGATGTGTGGGTTATTTTTGAAAAATTATGACAAAATCTCTATATATTAATTACAAATAACAAATTTGATGGTCGAAAAAATTACAAATAACTAATTTATTTGTTTTTGAAGATTCTACCAATTAATTAATAGAATCTTATATTTAATAGTGAACTAATTAATTAATTCATGAATATTTTTAAGTTATTTATTTTTCATTATTGTGCAAAAAATGTGCATTACTTTTCCTAAAATATCCCTCTTTTAATGTGCGTATTAAATATTTGAAACAAAAAAGTGATAAAACCTGAAATTAACTAGGATAATGGGAACAAAAAAATATTAAACAAAGGTAACATTGCAGATTGAAACCTTATTTATGACCCGAACAAATTCTTTAACTAAGTTTTATATTTAGTAAGGAAGGGAATATGAAATAAAGGAGTTATTAGTTAGCAGGGTTAGTTCCCCCTAGGTGAACGTGTGTAGGGATAGTGTTATAAATCTCATATCAACAGGTCACATTGATGAAATATAGTTTTATAAGTAAGCTGGGCGCCCTCCTCTTATGAGGTGCCTTTTGGAGGTGAGTTCTACTTGAAGGATTTGTGATTGTGACATTAGTGTTCTCATTAAGAGGGAGAGGTTGACTGATCGAAAATTAAATAAAGCGTTGTGAGGCGTGAGTCGTTGCAGACGCCAACTCTTGAGAG